ATTTTTATATCGCCATCCGATATATATCTTATATCGAACAGCCCTACATGTACGGTATAACAAGTTGCCTACTTAGAACTTGTAATAGCATTACTAGTTCCATGTCTATTTTCAACGTTTTTATTCATACATTTTTCCCATAAACTTTTAACTTCCTCTCTTTCACAGTTTGGGTTACAAAGATTTCTTTAGCTTCTTTAGCGCAATAAGGTGACGTGCAAAGAATTTCTTATGACTACAGGTCTGTGCTCATGCAGATACCCGCATACTGTGGTAGCTACACTATAGCTAAAAAGTGATAATCTTACAGAATACAGATATGATGGTACAATCTTTTTTATTTGTAGGATGTTTGCAATAAACAAACAATTTTGTAACAAGGATGTAAAAGAGTATTGTTCTATGAGCCCCAAAAGGTTGATTTTGTTCATCTGGACATAGTCCTTTCAGTGGGAGGATGATTAAGCATGCATCAAGACATTGTTCTATGAGGAACAATGTCATTTTACTTTAACATGCATGTATAGAATGAGAATTACACATAAAAGAGAAGTGAAAACCACAACAGGACAAAACTTGTTTTATCTGTAAATGGCCACAACAGCACCTGTTGTATTATAAAAAGCTTTTTTTTTCCCACCTCCCCTTTTAGTCCTGAACATTAAAAGTTCTTATGAAATGTCTGAAAATAATTAGTTTTTACTTTTTTTTAAAAAAATTCTTCCACTGTTTAAGGTATGATCAAGATATTTTGATCTGGCTGCAAAAAAAACCCCTTCTCCTTCAACATCCTCTATTTGTGCACCCCTGCACTGCTTCCAGGACTCCTGTTAACATTAAATTTAGGTTCAAGAGTTGCTGTTGAGGAGAGCTGAGGACATCTAGCATTCCTCATAAATGCAAGCTGACAGAATTTAAAGGGCTTTACAATTAACCACATTTTCTCTCTCTCTCTCTTTTTTTGCTTTTGCAGGAGGTACAGAGGCAGACATCTCTCTTCTCCGTTTACACAAACATCCTATCCACAGTCCCATCTTTGGTGGTCACTCTCATACTGGTGACCTACAGCGATCAAGGAGGACGCAAGATAGCCATCATCATGCCTATGATTGGCACATTGATCTACACATTGTCTTTGCTGACTGTGTCCTACTTTGAACTCAGCATTTACTTGCTCTTTGGCTCCTCAATTCTTAGTGCTCTGTGTGGTGGTATGGGCACATTTCTGGGTGGCTGTTTTGCCTACATAGCAGACTTGTGCGAGGATGATCGTCAGAAGACATATCGCATGGCTGGATTGGAAATGATGATTGGCCTGTTGTCTGGACTGGCTGCATTATCGTCAGGCTACTTTCTGAGAACTGTGGGATTCAACTGGCCTTTCCTAACCTCTTCACTGATGCTCGTTTTGATCCTGCTCTATGCCATCTTTGTCCTTGAGGAGACTGTGAAGAAGGCTCCAACTAGTGCCGTTACTTTAGATGGATCTCCTTGGTATTTAGGCATGAAGCAGATGCTCCGTGGGGTTTGCCAGATGCTTGCAGGGGCCAGCTGCAGGTGGAAAACTGTTCTGGCCCTTCTCATTATTATCTTCACTTGCGTTTCCTTTGCATATGTAGGAGGGATGTCCGTGATAACACTGTACGAGCTCAGTGAGCCGCTGTGCTGGACTGAGATTTTGATTGGCTACGGCTCAGCACTGACCACCACTGTGTTCCTGACCAGCTTTGCAGGAGTGTCCTTGTTTACATACTGTGGTGTGCCCCAGCTGCTCATTGTCCTGTTGGGGATCCTGTCTGTTGTATCAGCCATGCTCACTGCGGCATTTGCTAAAACAACCTTGTTGATGTTTATAGGTGAGGAGGAAAATGCAACTATTGGAATGTACAGTAGTTTTGACTCGTACATAAAATGAAGAGATAATACTTTTTAACCCATGTTTGTTTAAATAAAAAAAATAATTATATAATTATTTTTATTTATTTATTTTTTAACAAGGTGTGCCATGAACTAAGTCCATAGTTTAGTTGTATCTGTTTTTAACACCCTGAATTAGGAAATTGCTTATATATAGTTTCTGACACAAATTTAGTTTTTAGTGTTTTGCATTGATCTATTGTAGAATTTGTCTTAATATGTGGTATGAAAAGAGGAAAAATGCATCAACCAAAGCCCGTTTCAGTGTTCATTGTGGGCACGATATTAAATGGTTGGGTGTAAAAACACAGAATGTGTCATATTAAAAAGCATAAGGACAATTTTAGCTGCAGGAAGTAGAAATGCCTTATGTGCTCTTTTTTTTTTTTTAATTAATTCATTTATTTTTGCAGAAAAAGCACATAAGGCATTATAAACAGAGAAATGGCACCCCCAAAATACATTGCATGCTAGTGACTTGGATTACTAATTGACAGAATAGGACTTTTTATGGTGGCTTTATAAGGTGCACAACTACTACTAGAGACTCCTAATTTTTTTTAGTGCATTGTAAACTTATAAACGGTGTAATTATGTTATCGCTCATTTGCTTACTTTAATTATCTTATTGCAACATTCTACGTAATTGAAAACACACATCTGTTACATTTATAGATGCAACATACTTTTTTCATAAGTAACTAAACAATTTTGCAAATATTAATTTCCTCATGTATAGTTTTATGCAGTTACATTAAAACTACAGTGTGATGCATTATATAATGCTGATCTTCTGTTTTTCATTTGCCACAGTGAGGATACCAATGCTACTGTCTATCATGCCTTTCCCTGTACTGCGCTCCATGATGTCAAAGATTGTCCCAAAGTCTGAGCAGGGTGAGTGACTTTTCAGAGCTTTACATGAACCACAGAACCATGTCTGAGTGTGTTTGTAGAGCCAGAGTCCATTGAAGGATTGCCTGTTCCAGCAGCTTTGGCTCTCCAAGTTTCTGTTGAATTTAGCAGAGGGTTATCTTAAAACTATACACCAGAAGTTCTTAGTAACCCTATGACCTGCAGATTTATTTATTTATTTTCTGTTTTTCTGATTTTTTTTTCTCTATTGCAGGAGCCCTGTTTGCCTGTCTTTCCTTTATGGAAAGTTTGTCCAATAATGTATCGTCCATAGTGTTCTACAGTATTTATGCTGCTACGGTAGCGTGGTGCCCAGCCTTCGTCTTTCTGTTATCTGCAGGACTCTGTGTGATTCCTTTGACTGCCTTGGGGTAAGTCAATAAGTAGGCCAATGGATTTCCCACAACTTTAAAATAGC